ATTATCAGGCGGCCCGGCTGCCGTGGTTTGTGGCGGGTGGGAAGGGGACACTGCTACAAGCCTGTACAGAACACACAGCACTTCATCCCAGAGCACAGAGAAGTCAGCAGCACAGTGAGGCCACAGGCTGGGCAACAGCCTTGTACCCATGTAATGCAGCAATCCACCCAGTTCAGTCTTCAAATAAAAGGGGACACTCTAGGTTTGAAAAAGCATTATGTTCTATACCGAATTACATCTCTGGCCTGATGTCTCCAGAACCTTATTCCACAGTTGGGTTTTTTTCACTTCAGTTACAAACAAAAAAACAATTATCATGAAGATAGCATTGCTTTTACGGTATGGCACTGTCAGACTACTGATAAAAATTTAATGGAGCTGAACATATTCTCATCTTCAAATTTCATTAGAAATACAGGCCATGAGTTAAAATGTATATTCACACAACTTCAAAAACAAGTGCACAATTCTACTGCAATTTAGGAACACATTAGGGCATATATGAACAAAACTTCTTGCTGAACATGAGCCCCAGTCATTACACACCTGAGAAATGTACAAACTATTAAGTAAACAAATTTCCCTGTTATGCAATACTTTACCCAGCTCTGAAATACATAGTAAAAGCCCATGTACATCCAGTTAAGTACATCCATGTTATAGCCTTAGCAACTGCTTCCCAAATGCAGACCATTTCATACCCAATCACCAAAACTGAAGCAGCTATGAAAAGACTGCTGTACAATCTAGATCAGATTGTAAACAAAGCTTATGTGAAAAGATTTCTCTGGAAAATTACCACACACAAAACAGTTTTGCAATTTAGCAGTTTGTACTTGATTAAAAAGTAAAATTGTTGCACATTTCCATCAAAAAAAAATACAAGGCTACCTTAATTCTGAGAAAGGTCTGAAAAATTCTAGCAATTAAACTCAGAGATTGAATGCAAGATTGTCAGAATTTAAATCAGGGAATGTGACTATAAATAACAAAAAAACAAACCTAGAGTCACTTATCTAAAATCAACTGCATGACAGAGGAACAGATTTTTAAAGACCTAATTAACTCAAGGACCTGTGGCCAGAGGTCACAAACTACATCACAGTTGCTATGTATTCAGATGCAGCGCAGCTGCTTGTAGTAGGACAGCTTCACATCAACATCAGCCATCCTAATTTCACTACCCACTCAGCTCTAGAAACCCTGCCACCACATCTGGGGAAACCCTGAACTGATAATCTTGCCAGAGACTCAACTGGAGAACATAACTAGATGGTTCTATATTCAGCATGACCCCAGGTGGGCTGAGTCACCTCAACTACATCTTACACAAGCATCACTATTTTTATACTTACTTTGCAGCTTTATGAACACTGAAGTCTTATTAGCTCCACACAACCTTCCACGAGAACAGCGAGGACCAGTGCTGCGTCCCACAGCAGGACTCGCTACCTCACATTTTCTCAGTTTTGTAAAAGACACCAACCACCAGACACAGAACTACAGCTGTTAAGCCCAGCTAGACCCTATTAACAACTCTAAAAGATACTAAACATTTCAAGACTATCAATACATTCCCTAATTTTTTAAATTATCAAGTACATTTTGACCACCCAAGACAACATACTTGTACAGCTGAAAACATGCCCAGTTGTTTGATGTGACTTCCAAAAGCACAACAATGCCTAACACTACCTAGCTGCATTCAACAGTATCATTGTTTCTAGGCACTGTTCAAAAGTTTCACTAGCTTTTAAATAGTTTTATTCTAGAAATACATATCAGAGTAGGAATCAATGGACATTGCTTATACATAATCATTTGAACTAACCTGTTGAAGGAGAAATGCAATAATCATCTTCTACTGATTGTCCATACACATCATCATCTTCAAAATCTATGAAGCAGAAACAATACCATTAGTTTACACAATTTCCAAATGCTTAATATTGTAATTCAAAGGGTAGTTTTAACACAGCGTTTCAAGAAACTACACACCTCTAGTACTCCAGAAGTTCAGCTAAGTACTGTTTATTTACCTAGGTAATAAATTCTAAGTTGCATTAATAGAAATTTAACATTTAATACTCTGTTCATTAGGAAAGCTGAAAATTTTCAAGAGCTGCCATGCTTCACACCTCCTCCTTCAGCATCTCCTTTGGAAGGCTGTCCTCACAGTCCAAACCGAACTTCTACAGTTCCACAAGTCTTTACCCATGGCAACTCTCTTGATATTTCTGCCAGACCTCTCAACAGTCTTAACAACAGCCCATTCGATTACAGTCTCTACTTCAACAACTCAGGATCAGCATTCCTGCTCCACACCTATCCATTTCTCAGCTTCCTTCTCTTGTCTATCCTCATGGCCATCTACATCTCAACTCAAGGCAAAAAAACAATTTACAATTTCCCTTTGAATATACAAAACTGTTTCAGCTAAAATACAAGAATTTTATTCAGTTACTTAAACATAGTGTGGTGGGTTAACCCTGGCTGAGCAAGAGATGCCCACCAAGCCACTCTACCACCCTCCCCCTTTCTGCTCCTTCCATTCCAGAGCAAAAGGGGAAAGGAAAATAAGATGGAGACAAAACTCCTTGTGGGTAAAAACGAAGGCAGCTTAATTAGAAAGCAAAGCCAAGCAATGCTGTGTGAGGAAGCAAAGAGAAAAAAACAGATTTATTCTCTACTTCCCATCAGCAGGTGATGTCTGTCCCTTTCCTGAGAAGTAGGGCTCCAAAACGTGTAGCTGTTGCCCTGCAGTACAAAGGAGTAACCCCCTCCCTCCTTTGTACCAGCTTTCTAGCTGAGCCAACATCATATGGTATGGAATATCCCTTTGGTCAGTTCGGGTCAGCTGTCTTGGTTATGATCTCCCCAAGCTCTTGTCCCCCCGCTTATAAGCACATGGCTGTTTCACAAATAATATGTATTTTTTGCTGTTTTAAAAGAGGAAAAAAAAGTAGCTGAAAGCTAAAAAATTCTGCACTGGTATTAACTTACAGACTACAGAACTGGGACGCTACAAACATTTCATCCACCTATAGGAGGCTCAGAATTTGGGGCATGAAAGGTTCATTTATCTTTGCACATGGAAAAGAAAATCAAAACGTAATGATAATCCAACATAAATTTGGAAAAAAAAAAATGCCAACCAAAAGCAGTAGCTAAAAGGCTGGCACAAGTGTATGAAAAGTTTAGTGAAAGACCAAGAAAACCACTTTGGAAATTAAGTATCAAAATATAATGAAAATATATTATAGGCCTGTCTTGATTGTTTGTCTTGGGGAAAAAAAAAAAAAAAGAGCATATCCTTACATGGCTTTTGACTATGTTGAAAAAAAAAAAACAGTCTCCAGGTGCTATGCTAGGACCAATGAATCTACAAAAAGCCTTGAAAAAAGCTATACATTTTCTTCCAGATAAGAACACTTTTCCATAGTTTGGCCAGTACTTGGAGAGTATTGGCCAGTGAAGAACTCCAAGATGACTTCGGTCAATGGTTAACATTCACAGTTAGTTGTAAGTGAAATCACTCTAAGTCTTGTCAGTATGCATTACCTGAATTACTTGTACATACAATACTAGCTTAACCTCTAGACTAAAGAAAAGACACCTCAGTGAAAATGGCTTGGCTTGCATTGACAAAAAAACAATGCTAAAACATGACAGATATTACAGGGAACAGAGTAGAAGTCACGGAATCAGTCCACAGTATCAACAGCTGTATCACCAACATACTTGCAGCTGGAATAGCACGTTCGGTTCTGATTACAACACCTCAAAAAGGAAAGAGCAGAAACAGAATATGGTCAAATAAACGCCATAAGATCTAAGGCCTCAGAAGCCTTCCTAGGAAGAGTGACCAAAAAATCCTCCAGATATGAATAATTGGGCCAGACAAAGCATTACAGGATCCTAAGTGGCATAAAAAGAACAAATAACGTTATATTAAATAAGATGATATAAATGGGGACTTCATTTGGGACAGACATTATTATGCATGACTACAAAGTAGCATATGCTGTAAGTATGAAGACCACATGTATATACACTTTAATTAAAAGTGACGTGTAATGCAACAGTCAAGTCTCAAACAGAAATAAAGCTTAAGCCCCATATGGCTACAGCAAATTGCTATGTATGTTAGCAACCTCATCATACAAACACTGAAATGAATTCTACAGGCTGGGCCTTCAATTTCACAGATGACAGAGATTCAATCAAAATGAACATTTCAAATAATCTGTGATGAAGATCTCTATAGGATGAAACAATCAAACTGCAAAATCCCCAATCCAGTGTAAAATTTTGCCTATATTAGGTAAATTTGCACTAGTAAAACCTCCAAGTTGTCATGGATTGCATGGATTTACAAGACTCCCCCCAAAATTCCAAGATCACAGTGCAAACCCCAACTTGTCCTACTATGATACATATACACATTGCAGCTGTCCACTTAACAGCAAAAGCCTACAGTCAGGCCTAAGTATTTCTTGCAATTTTTGTATATAATCTGTCCAAGTGAGGCAACAAAACAATCCACTATCATACCAAAAGGTTTTTTAAAATACCAGTATCAACTGGAAGTGTGAAGATTTTTCCACAGGCCAAGCCAACACAAACAAAACCATAGACAAAAAAGGGTATAATTTACAGTTCACCTAAGTTAATAGGACATGGATCAAAAAAAAGCTGAGGTACTTGCAGGTACAAGCCAAATTCTCACACAAGAACCCTGTCATTCCATGCAAGCATCAGTAAAACATGACAGAAAGGTATCTAAAGAACAGGTTCTTCCTTAGATGCTTAATTCCCATCTTAAATAGCTGTGTTTCTTCTACAAGGAACGGTGTTGCCATTTATCTATTATTACGACTGAACCTCAACACTTGGCTAGAGCCAGACTGGGAACACAAACTTTTACGGGGCTGAAGAAGGGCGGGTTCCCTTGTATTGAGCGTGGTTTCCAAAACACTCCCAGCCGCCTGGAAAACTGTCATCTCCGGCAGCGTAAGGCACCGCAGGTAAACCCCGCCGAGGCCCGCCCCAGGTGGCAGCTCCCGGGGGACCCCGAAACGCGGCGACCGCAGCAATGCCACGTGCACCCGGGCCGGGGCTCGGGCGGGAAACTGGCGGAGGGGCGGGGCAGGATGAGGCCTCGCACGGAGCCTCGTTAAACCCCCGCGGGAGGCAGGAGAGGGGATGGGGCTGCTTCT